GTCTTGAAATGGTGAAAACTTATTTTCAATGTTTAGCTTGCTGTGTCAGTTACTGCATAGGGCAGGTTTTTATTTGTCCCTAGCCTTAAATCTTACCATGATTATTTTTTTTATGTTGGCTATCTAGTGATGCATATTCTTAAGAGTGTGGTTTGTCTTCATAATTAATCTCTTCTTGGTACTTAGTTATTTACTGGATCCACTTTTCAGGTTTAGGTAAGGGAGTTTGTAGGCCTATTGTTGTGGATGAAACTGCTCATGTGGAGAATGTTCAGATTCAAGACTTTGAAAAAGATCCACGAAATTGATTCAGCTTTAGTAATTGCTTAATATAATAGTTCTTGGTCAGACGTAGAAGGACATCAATGCTATGGGAGAAATAGAGTTTGTAATCTAAAATTCATGAAGAACATTATTTTTGCTAGTTTATGGGTTACATCATATTTGCAGTCTTTTTGGATCCTTGCATATTGAAAATAACAACTCTATATTTAATACTTTCTTAAAACTCTCTGATTCTATTTTTTTATGCCTTATGTTAATCACAAATGGTTGTGAAATCTTGCTATATGGAAATCTTATTTTATATTAGTATCAGTAATTTACCTTTATTTTTGAATTGAATAGAACAAACTGAAGTGTTGGAATTTCATATAGTTTGGTGGTCATCCCAAGTCATATCTAGCTACCTAAGAGAGTTCTATACTGGTAAGTTTGCCTTTTACTCATCAACTTGATATTTATATGCTTATAGAATTGTAAAACACTTGGACATGAAATTGGAATCTAGGCAATTTATTTTGCTAGTTTCTTTATTTGTTGTTGGTTTATTTGTTGTTAGTTTAAGATAACTTCATTTCATATGGTGATGAAATAAGTAAAAAATCTATTGAAATTTGCTGAATGGTGATGATTCTATTAAGATAATGTGAGAACCCGTAAATTGCATTTTCTAGGTTTTCGCATTGTTCATGGCTTGTTTTCTGCACTTTCTGTATCCGGAAAATTTTCTAGATAAATTTTATGAGCAATTATAGTTTTTAGATAATTTTTCTAGTATTGGAGAGTTTTTAGAAAATTAAGAATATATATTGGACGTGGGACCCACTAGTGCGAAAAGTTCGGAAAAATTCGGCCAATAAGGTTAAGTTTCGGATACTGTGTAAAATTTATCGGGTGTTAAGAGATAAGTAGAGAGTGAGATTGATTGATGTGAGAGGAAAAGAAAGATAAGATTGCATTAATGTAGGTGACAAGTGTCACCACTACATTGGTTTTGACTTAAGAGTTACTATTCACTATTTTGACTTTTGACCAAAAATTGGTTAAATATCTCAAAAATGCACAAAAAAATTACCATTTCTTACCTCTTGTTGGCCGAACCTCTTGTGCAAGGAAGGAAGAAGAAACTCTTCAAGTTCTAGCTACTACTTGGTGCAAATCACCCAAAAACATTTGCTTACATCCATTTCTACTCCATAAAAATCTTTCTAGTTGGTGATAGAGGTTGTTTGGTGAAGTTTTCTTGAAGAGCTAGGGTGGTCTACAACTCCTCTTCTCTTATTTCTTAGGTAAGTGATGATTAAACATTCTACTACACTTATTGATGCTTATATGGTGCTTAATGGGACCTAAAGTGATGGATTATGTGACTTGTTTCTTGATTTGAAGTGTTTTGGTGAAGTTTTCAATTTTATGATGAATTTTCTGGTTTCATATGATCTTGATGGTGTGGTTGTTTTTGATGGTTGGTAATAAGGGGCTTTAGCTCTAGTAGGTGCATATGATAGGAAATTGCAATCAATTTTGAATTTGGAAGAATTTCTGGAAAATTAGGGTTCTTGGTTGAACATTCTGTCCGAAATTTTAGGTCATAGATAGAGGCCGAATTGGACTTTGCTCAAAACATGAAATTTGTAGGTATTGATGAGTTTGAAGTGCCTGCAAAATTTCAGGGCATTTGGAGTAGTGTAGAGTGAGTTATGCCGTTTTTACTGTTGCTGTTCTGGGTGAACAGAATGTACGAACTGCGATAGTAATTGTCTATTTTGACTGGCATTGGTTTGGATTTTGAAGTTGGTGTCTTCTGATAAAATGTAACTGGATGTCTTAGCTAGCTTATGCCTTTGGAATTTTGGCATTTGGACTTGTATAGACTGAGTTGTGTTCATTACAGTTTTGTGTGTTTTGCAAACCTGTTTTGGTAATTCTGGTTTAGTATTTGGCACATTTGACCTAGTTGTGCTAGGATTTGGACTGAGAGGCCTTCTACATTGTTGTAGCCATGTCTTTTAGCTTCGAGATGGTGGGTCTTACGCCCTCATCCGATAAGCGTAGCGCATTTTGTGCCATTACCGCATACGGAGGCCAAACCTGTTTTTGTTGATTGATCAAATGAGTTATATTTTCTGATTTTCTGGTTTGCTATTATGCTTATATATGTATATGAAACCCTATTGGGGTTGTGATTGGCATGGCTTTATGATTCGTTATCGAGTCTCATTGTACTTGTTTGCATGTTTTAAGGCTTACTCTTATTCCGGTCATTTCCTAGCTAACTTTTGTACTTGTATTGCTTTGAGCCTAGTGAACGGCTTTTGGGAAATGAGATGACTTTTGTGTGAGGTTTTGGGACTGATTTGAGGAAATCATGAAGCCTTAATGGCTGGAAAAGTAAGAAATTTAGGGGAAATGCTGTCCGATTTTCTAGGCCGTTTGGTTCTTTAAGTTGGATTTGCCTTTTGATGGAAATGAAGGGCTTTTGGGTTGTTGACCCTAGGTCTTCATGTTATCTTTTGTTTCCAAGAAAATCATGTTTTTGCACCCTTGCATTAGTATTTTTGGGCAAGGCGTACGACGTGTAGTCGAGCCTCACTTGTGCATTCCGTTTACTCGATTTTGGATATGAAACCTTCAATTGGTTTATTTTGATTATTTTAGGGTTTCTTGGCGATTAAGGCCAATCTGAAGTAAAAACTTTTGAAGTTGAGCCGGTGAGTGTACCACTCCCCTCCATTGCTATTTAACTTGATTTCTGCTCTGCAATCTGTTTATTTGTTCGAGACGAGGGTGTACTTTATCACACTCGTTCTCTAGTCTGTTCATATGCCAATTTACTATGCAAAATTTGAATATGTTATCTGTGTCCGCATCTGTTCGGATTTCTATGACCTATGAGCTCAATCCTGTGGCTAAGTTATTCGAGTCGGGCCGGCAAGGGCCTGGACGATTAGATAACGAACCACGGTAGTCTGTTCGGGGATTTTGGGTATTGAGACCCTTGATTCCGGGTATACTCGAGTATTACCATTTTGTTCGTTTGAGGTGAGCGGGCCCGGTAAAGGGGTGTTTGGTGGACGGAATTCGGTGATAAGAGGGGTCTACGGACGCATTGGTTCTATATACGTTGACGGAGAGTCAACCGGTTTGGATCAAGTATTGCGCTGGAAATTTGGCTCCTGAGAGCCACCCGTATCCTTCTGATTTGAATCATTGGTTCCTTTGCTTTACATCTGACATGTGTATCTGATTTGTTAAATGTGAAATGCCATGATTTTAATGCTATCTGTTTGGTACCTCATTGAGCGCAAGCTCACCCCTTTCCGTTCCTTTTGTTTTCCTTACAGGAAAATAAACCCTTTTGGTCTGGATTTGACAAATGGCTGCCAAATTGAGCTAGTTGAACATATCTTTTGTATAGCTCATGTATTAAAACCCTAAGTGTACTTTTGGGGCGTTTTCTCTTTTGATTTGGCAAACCGTGTGTATATATTAACTTTTGAAAACTTTTGTATGTCATTTTGGATTGTAATCGCTAAAGTTCAGATGTGAATGTTTGCGTGCTCTTTCGATTGGGTTCTGACGGGTTGGTTACTATCATGGCCGACTCCGGATTTCATTTTCTTATTTTGGGTTATTTTTTTCATTTTGACTTGTTTACGCTCGTTTGTAAGTTCCGGATCGCAATAGATAGTTCTAGTCTGCATCGTTAGTCCTGGCGAGAGTTAGGCAGGCAGTCCGCTAACCCCTTTGGTTCGCCTTAGGGGAAGGTGGGGCTGTTACAGATAACCTCATTTGATATTTCAAAACTTGAATTTTGAATACTTCATCTATGTCTTGTAAACACCTGTTTTCAAAGTGGTTAGCTTGAATCTAGCCTTGATATGAGCTAAAAAATGTTGTTATTATTTTGCTACGTTCATCTCTTTATTGATAGCTATGTGTTGAAGGAAGCTATTTTGGAAAGGTTTTTAACTTTTTGTTGCTCCAAAAATCAGCTTCTTAGTTCTAGAAATTCATGTAGGTTGTTGTGCTTTAGTTTTAAATGGGTGCATGAATTGATATACAGAGTTACATGGTAATGAGATGGAACTTAAAATATACTTATCTATAGTATGTACTGGTCCTATTTGCAAGACATAAAGAAAGGGATATAATTTATTAATATGTTTATTGTTACTTCAACAAAAAATACTACAATGGCCTGCTGTAAGGGCCTACGAATGAGCAGTTGATGAGGAAATTAGATTTTATTGGTTGTTAATTGCATGGAGTTTATTTGGTCATCGAACTATCACTTTGGTTGTTAACTTGTTAGTATTTGTATGAAGGTTGGATCTAAAATCATTCTTACTTTACTATTTTCTGTATGTCATGGTTGCCTCGTGTATTGCAAAACGAATCTAAAAATGATACTCAAGTTGACAATAATACAAACACCACTTAAATAGGTTTATGATAAGTAGTCCATGAGCCTGAAACATTTTTTAGGTTTACAATTCAGTCAAATTTGCTTGACCATTAACAGGCTGGTGAGGCATTAGGCTGTCTTCTGACCTGAAGATGGCTGATAAGAGAGGCATTTGGAATTATTATGCTCCTATGCGATAGGACATGTCTGTGCTCTTTTGTAAGTGTAACTTCAATTGAAGACAAAAACCACTGATGGGGTGCTTAAGCTCCTATTGCATGTGGTGCTGGTTTCTTGGGAAAAGCCACCGATGGGGTGGCTTAAGCTCAACTTCGATGCCAGTGTCCTCAATGGCAGGGCGGCTGGAGGAGGGGTCTTGCGCGACCATTGGGGGAGGGTGGTCTGGGCATACTATAAGGAGTTTGGGGACTTGGATGTGTTGACAGCGGAAGCACAGTCCCTTCTGGTCGGTCTGAAATTGTGCCCTGATTGTGGTGTTAGCTCAGTGATTGTGGAATCGGACTCGAAGGTGGTAGTTCATTTAGTGGTTTCGAAAGTCTTGTCAAAGTGGCTGTTGTGCAATGTCTTGCGCGAGATCAGACACTACCTTAGCCGGATGGAGGCAACCCTTCTTCATGTATTTTGGGAAGCCAATGCTGTGGCGGACACTTTAGCTTCCCTGCAATTGGGAGAGCAGCGGTTTTATGATTCACTCACAACCCTTCCTCCCAAAGCCAGAGGGGAGGCACGCCTCGATTGCCATGGAATACCTCGAGTACGCTTGGGAAACGTTTGAAAAGGAGCACCTGCCGGTTATGTTTTTCCACTTTTTCCTCTTTTCTTTCATGTAACCATCTTAAGTTTTAATAAAATTTAGGGTTGGCTACCCTTCCCCAGTGCCGGGGTTCTACCAAAAAAAAATTGATGGTCTCTGAGGATTCTCGTTTTGGTGAGTTGCTCTTTTCAAGTATAATTTCACATGTTTAGCTGCTGGAGGTTTATTGGTTACTTGCTATCAGAGGTGCATTTTTGATGAGTTAATTTGATGCTAAATAGGGGTTTAGGTTGTGGAGAAAGCTGCTGAATTGAAGAAAAATCCAACTAAAAACTAATTCCTATAGAACTCCTTTTGTTTTTACTTCTTGCTACCTATCATGCACCAATTGCTGATTTGATTCATTTTTCTTTGTGTTTTATTTTACAATGGTAATGATGATGTACAAAAGAAAGGCAAAAGTTGCTGAACCAAAGGCTAAGAAGGGAAAGATGTGACGACCCCACCTCCCCCTAGGGCGTACCCTAGGGTTTAGCGAGTCGCCTGCCCAACTCTCGCCAGGACTCACTCACGTTTAACTCGAGAAAAGAACTTACAACCATAGAAAATAAATAAAACAACGATTCCAAGCTTAACATATATATTGATGCTCAACTCCAGCTACAAGACTTATACACGCCCAAATATATCAAGGTGTTTACAATCCAGGTGCAACCAACCCTAGTCGAGCACTAGCGCGAGTACAATTGTAAAATCCAAAAAAAACTAGACTACGCTAGCCTGTACAAATCTCATGCCTCGCTCGTATCCCCTGTGAGGAAAACAAAACTAAAGGAATGAGCTAAAAGCCCAATGAGGTTCCATACACATAATCGAGCAATTAAATCCAGGACACTAATCATTTAATAGAAAATAATCCAAAAAACAGTTAACATATAAAAGAAATAATAACCCACTCATTAAAAGGATACATGCTCACGTGGAGCCATTCGTTCATTCGTTCGCCAACCATTTTCCTTATTCCTCCAATATTAGAAAACATTTGCAAGTGAAAACTCCTCCAATGTTTTTGACATTCATTCATTCATTTTATTTCCCGCCACTAGCCAATTCACTGGCCAGTCTCCACCAATTTTCGTGGTCATACTCGAGACCAAACATTATCCCAGGGTCACCAATCGCCCGACCGAGTCCGCTTCTGGCTCGAGTCGACTGGCAACGAAGGACAAGAGCCCAGTTCAGCCAAAAGACTTACATTCATGCATAAGTAGTATTTAATCATTGAAAATTTCACGTTCATTTAGGTCGAGTGCGATAAAGTACACACTCGCCTAGCAAAAATTCATTTTAGCAATCATTGAAAACATTTAACATTTAATCAAACATTCACAACAATCCACAGAGTCATTTGAAGCATAACCTACAAAGAACACTCACCAATTTAAGCAAAATAACGTCAAAACTTTCCTTCCAGATTATGCCCTTGATCACCGACAAACCCTAAGAATAACCAATCCCAAATTGAAGTGAGCAAAGTTAATTCAAAGTTTTCGAAAGAGAACTAACACTTTTCATCTTAGTTGATACCAAATCTTGGTCAAAACAACTCATATACTAATATTGAAATGCATTCAAGGATACATATGTAACTTAAGATCCAACTAACCCTAAACTCAAACCTTACATCTCACTAATATTCATAAAAGCAAGTAATAGAAATTTGGCAGCATGCCCTTTGTATTTTGCTATTTTCCAGCCATTTATAGTTTCATTTTTTTCCTCAACTCAGCCCAAATTCATACATAAGCAATCTTAACATAATAACCCTTCAACTAGGCTCAATGTCATCCAAATACTAGGCAATTCTAGCAATGCAACCATAAAAATCAAAGTTGGAAACTAGTTTTGAAGACGAATGGCTAAGTAGCAGGTTTGACATCTTCCGGCGTTTTGGTCACATTTGAAGCTATGCTCATTGGATTGGGGTAAATTTTATGGCATTTCGAAACTAAGACATAGACCTACATTTCCTATGAAGACATTGACACCCAGTTCGTGCATTTTCAGGGTCAAAATGTGCAATCTCAGAGAAAACAGAAAGCTGCCTATGAAATAGGGCTTTTGGCAGTCAGGGGTATTTTAGTCATTTCACACTTTACAGTTATCAGATTGAGCTGAAAATTTATTGGTAGATAGTTAACTCCATTCCCTACAACTTTCATGTTTTGACCTAGACCTGATTCGACCTCTACCATGGACGAATATGCAGGTCAGAAACAGGGCAGATTCATCATTAATGCTGGAAATTTGATGTTTCAATGCTTAAAACTAACACTCATGCCTTTAATCATTACCCCAAGTCCCTATCCAAGCTCATAAACATCATATACTAGATAAACAACCTTAATCACAACTAAAAATTACAAACCTTAGCTGAAAATGATAAGCTAATAAGCAAGACCATGAAATCTTCCATAAAATCCATCACTATCAAGCCATGTATTGCTTCAATTGCAAAATAAGAAAGAAAAAGAGAGGTTTCTAGTATAATACCTCAAAACCTCCAAAATAAGTTGTGATACAAGGACTTTCTTCCTCCCAAAAGTTGCACCAAGCTCACCTCCAAGCTTCCCCAAAGATTAATCGGAGTGGATTCAAGTTTCACTTTACTTTTCTCAAGAATCAAGCAAGCTATCAAGATGGAATTTTTGGAAGTTTTTCTCTCTTTTCTTTCCCTAGAATTTCGGCCAAGGTGAAGGAAGTGGAGAAGAAATGAAGCCAAGAGAAAGATAAGAAGATAGGAAATTAATTTTGTCAAAGTTGGTTGAATCCTTGACACTTGTCAAGCCAAGATTTCCCTTCTTTGTTTTTTTCTTTTCTTTCTTTTCCTTCGGTCAAAAATGGTGGCTTCTTTATAGGATATTTTAGGGATGATTAGCTGAAATAAAAGCAATGTGATTAAGGTAATAAAGTAGTGTTCAAGTGATGTACTCACTCGGTAGCAAACGGTGCACGTCGATTCGAGCCGTTTTTCCTTAACTCGCACGTACTTGTGTTTTTACTTATGATTCACTAGCTTATTATTATCACTTCTAATCACACACTTTTCCTTACCTAATACTCATTCTTATCCACCAAATTTAGTACACACAGCTCACCAAGTGATCACACGGCTAAAATACGCAAAAACCCTAATTTACGCTAATTATAAAACTAAAGGTACAACCCTTGGTTCTATGATTTATTGTAACTATTGAGGGAGTAAATGAGTAGTAAAGATATTATAAAGTAATTTAATCAAAATAAAAGGGTATTTTAAGAAAATAAGAAGAATTTTGCGAGTCCTCACAAAAGAAATCAAAGAATCCAGATGCACCATGTGACGCCCCGAAAAGTATGAGTGTGAGAACCCGAAAATTTTCTAATTTTCTAGAGTTTATTTTATTTAATCGCCCGTATTTTCTTCATTTTCTTTATTAGAAAAATTCCCCAGATAAAGTTTATGAGCAAAGATAGTTTTAAAATGATTTTTCTAGTATCGGTTAGTTTTTGAGAAATTAAGAGCGTATTTTGAACGTGGGACCCGCAAGTGCGGTAAACGCAATATATTTTTGACAACTTGTTCGATTTTTGTATTAAGTGTTATTATTTTACAAGGTGTTAAGATATTTGTATTGGAGAGACAAAAAGATAAGTTTTGAACCAAAAGGTGACAAGTGTCACCATAAGATTAAGTCTTGGACTTTGACCATTTGACTTTACCTTTACCTTTACCAAATAAATATCAAAAAATTGCCAAAAATCATCCTTGTTTCTAAAGCTTCATAGCCGGCTCTCTCTCAAAGGAAAAGAAAGAAAAGCTCTCAATTTCTTCCTTCTATTTCTTGCTCAATCTTCAAATCCAACCAATAAAACTCCAAATCATTCCATAAAATCTCTTTGCTAAGTGGTCTTGAGGTGTTTTGTGGAGTTGTTTGGAAAGCTAAGGTGATTTGTTGCTCTATCTCTTGTATGGCTAAGGTGAGTTGTGAAGAACCACTCTCCTTCCTCTAATGATGTTCAATTCATGATTGGTGGTGGTATAAGATGCACTTTTATGGATTAAATCTTGATTTTGGTTGAATTGGTGAAGTTTTATAATTATTGGGGATTTTTCTGTTTTCATATGGATATGATTATGGGGTCATGTATGATGATTGGAAATAGTTTATAATGATTCTAGAAGGTGGAAAAAGTGGACAATTGCAATCAATTTCTGTTTTGGAAGAAATTTCAGAAAATTCGGTTTTGTGAAGGAACATTCTGTCCGAATTTATAGATCATATATAGAGGCCGAATTGGCCTTGGCTTAAAACATGAAAGTTTTAGGTATTGATGTTTTAAGGGTGCCTGTAAAATTTCAGATCAATTGGAGTAGTGTAGAATGAGATATGCCGAAATTACTATTGCTGTTCTGGGTTCATCAGGATGTTAGAACTGTGTCTGAAATGGGTTGTTTTGACTGGAATTGTTTTGGATTTGGGTGTTGAGGTCTTCTGATGAAATGTAGCTTGATGTCCTAGCTACCATATGCCTTTGGAATTTCTGCATTTGGACCTGTTTAGACTGAGTTGTACAGATTACAGCATAGTGTAATTTGTAAACCTGCAATTACGGTTCTGGTTTGTTATTTTGCATATTTGACTTAGTTGTGCTGGGATTTGGACTGAGTGACCTTCTACATTGTTGTAGCCCTGGTTCTTAGCTTCAAAAAGGTGGGTCTTGGACCTCCATCCGATACTCGTAGTACCTTTGGTGCCATTACCGAAAAAGGACGTCAAAACTGTTTTTCTGGTTTTGAGCTTAACTTTCATTTCCGGACTTTTCCCTAGCTTGACTTGTACTAGTACTACTTGGAGCTTGCTGAATGGCTATTGGATGAACTTGTTGTTGTGTGTGTACCTTTGGGTTGGAATGAGGAAATAATGAAGCCATGATAGCTGAAAAAGTTAGCAAATTCAGGGGAAGTGATGTCCGAACTT